CCAGCTGAGGGGCGGCTTCCCATCACCAGCCCAGCAAGGAGCAAAGGCTTGGAAAAACCCAGAGCACAGGCAACGTCAGAGAGAGTCGCAGGGATGGTGACATGGTTCGTGGTGCGGAGGTCACACCCGTACCCTCAGACCCCCAGGACGGTGACATGGCTCGTGGTGCGGGGGTCACATTTATATCCTCAAACTCCTGGGACGGTGACATGGCTTGTGGTGTGGGGGTCACACCCGTACCCTCAGACCCCCAGGACGGTGACATGGCTCGTGGTGCGGGGGTCACATTTATATCCTCAAACTCCTGGGACGGTGACATGGCTTGTGGTGTGGGGGTCACACCCGTACCCTCAGACCCCCAGGACGGTGACATGGCTCGTGGTGCGGGGGTCACATTTATATCCTCAAACTCCTGGGACGGTGACATGGCTTGTGGTGTGGGGGTCACACCCGTACCCTCAGACCCCCAGGACGGTGACATGGCTCGTGGTGCGGGGGTCACATTTATATCCTCAAACTCCTGGGACGGTGACATGGCTTGTGGTGTGGGGGTCACACCCGTACCCTCAGACCCCTGGGATGGTGACGTGGCTCGTGGTGCGGGGGTCACAGCCATACCCTCAGACCCCCGGGACGGTGACATGGCTCATGGCGCGGGGGTTACAGCTGTACCCTCAGACCCCTGGGATGGTGACGTGGCTCGTGGTGCGGGGGTCACAGCCATACCCTCAGACCCCCGGGACGGTGACATGGCTCATGGCGCGGGGGTTACAGCTGTACCCTCAGACCTCTGAGACGGTGACATGGCTCATGGTGTGGGGGGTCACACCCGTACCTTCAAACCCCTGGGATGGTGATGTGACTCATGGTGCGGGGATCACACCCGTACACTCAGACCCCTGGGACGGTGACATGGCTCGTGGTGCGGGGATCACACCCGTACACTCAGACCCCTGGGATGGTGATGTGGCTCCAGATACCAGGTCAGTGATCATCTGCTCTGGCCGAAGGCTCCATGATGCGAGCACCTGGTGACCAGGCTCCGGATGGAGACACCCCCCCAAACCCCGCACCCGGAGCACACGCAACCACATAGCAACAGCGTCCACGCCCTTCCCACCAGAGTTGGAATCTGACCGGCCATGCAGCACTCCCCTTGCACCCCCCGTCAGCGACGCAGGCCCCGGAGCCTCCCCGTGGCCCCGTACCTGGATGGAGACGTCGCTGTAGGAGCCCCCGATGACCCCGGTGATGGCCATGGGGACCTCGTCGTGGATGGCGTAGGAGCCGTCGGGGGAGATGTGGGCGGACAAAATCCAGCGACTGCTCCAGGGCGTAGGTGTCCTTGGAGCAGGTGTCCAGGATGTGGGCCCCCAAGGTGACACCCGGCAGGAGGCGCTGGTCCCGGTTGATCTCGTCCAGGGCGAAGAGCATGGCCTCCAGGCGCTGGATCCCCCGGTGCTCGTTGATCTGCCCACACTCCTCAGCAGAGCTGCCTTTCTCGTGCACCCAAAATCCAGCGACTGCTCCAGGGCGTAGGTGTCCTTGGAGCAGGTGTCCAGGATGTGGGCCCCCAAGGTGACACCCGGCAGGAGGCGCTGGTCCCGGTTGATCTCGTCCAGGGCGAAGAGCATGGCCTCCAGGCGCTGGATCCCCCGGTGCTCGTTGATCTGCCCACACTCCTCAGCAGAGCTGCCTTTCTCGTGCACCGGGAACAGCCCCCCGATGACCAGGTCCCCCTCTGTGCTGATCTCCTTCTTGGCTGCCAGGCCCCCAAGGTGACACCCGGCAGGAGGCGCTGGTCCCGGTTGATCTCGTCCAGGGCGAAGAGCATGGCCTCCAGGCGCTGGATCCCCCGGTGCTCGTTGATCTGCCCACACTCCTCAGCAGAGCTGCCTTTCTCGTGCACCGGGAACAGCCCCCCGATGACCAGGTCCCCCTCTGTGCTGATCTCCTTCTTGGCTGCCACGCCGTAGCCTGCAGCAGCCAAAGCCACAGGGGGGCAGAGGGCCCCATGGCCCTGTCCCGGGGGGGTGGAGAGAGCATCGGCGACTGCGCTGGGGTTGGGGGTCGCGGTGCGGAGGTCAGGGCGCCCCTTCTCCAAGGGAGCAGGACCTGTGGGCAGAGGAAGCAGATTGACAGTCACGAGTCTGCAGGCGGGTGCTGCCAGGCCCCCCCCAGGGCTGTGACAGCAGGACAGGCCATGGGGTCACCACCCCCTCAGGCCTGGGGTGCCGCTGGCCTGCACCGGGCGGCTCGGTGCCGGCCTCTCACGGCATTTCAATCCCTTCGACTGTGCCAAGCCAGCTGCCCGGCCCCTGGGCGTGGCCAAGCTGCCTAGGAACCCACCCTGGCCTGAGTCCCTCAGCTGGGCAAGTCACAGCAAACCACAGTTGTATATGCACCCCCTGGGGTGGCGGGTACACTAGGCAGGGGGAGGCGTTGCCTTCTCAACCCGCCAGCCTGGCCCCGCCCACATCCGCCCCCAGAACGCCTGTTGTCGGTGTACAGGGGGCGGAGTGGTGCTGCCCCCAAGCACTCGCCCTCCCCATGCTCCGAGGCTGGGGATGTGCACCAGGCCTCCCTGTGCTGGGAGAGAGCAGGGAGGTGGCTTGGCTCCTGCGGAGGCGGGGTCTTGATAAAAGGGGTGGGGCTAGGGGTGGGACCGCCCACTGACTGCCCACGTGCACCCCCTCGATGTACGCTTTCTGTATGTGCACACACCACGCACACATGTGGCACACACCCAGCCGCTGCCCCACCATCCCACACGCATGGGACACAGGCGCCCTTGGCTCTCGTGTGCCGGTCGCAAGGTCCCGGCCGTAACCACCAGTAAGTACCCGCCGAAGAGCAGAGGAAGAGCTAAGAAACCCGCTGCAAGTCGGAGCCTGGCCTCTCCCAGATAGTGCTTGGCACACCCGCCTGTGCTCTCCCCTTCCCGCAGGGTGGCACACACGTACTCACCTCCACACCTGCCTGGACCTGTTCACTTGTGTGTGCCTGTTCGCTGGCACACACATACAGCCCTGCACGACAAACACCCGCACGATGTGCACCCACAACGCACGATGTGCACCCACAACGCACGATGTGCACCCACAATGCACGATGTGCACACCCGCCTGTGCTCTCCCCTTCCCGCAGGGTGGCACACACGTACTCACCTCCACACCTGCCTGGACCTGTTCACTTGTGTGTGCCTGTTCGCTGGCACACACATACAGCCCTGCACGACAAACACCCGCACGATGTGCACCCACAACGCACGATGTGCACCCACAACGCACGATGTGCACCCACAATGCACGATGTGCACGCACAGCCGTGTGTGGGCTGCATGGAGACACCCCCCAGCTGAAGAGCTAGGAAGGAGACCAATTAATGTCCCGGCCGGGGGGCCAGTCCTAAGCTTGGCCAGGATCACTGCACAATAAACATCCGCGTAAAGTGGAGTCAGCATATACGCCCCCGCCCCTACCCCTGTTCTGGCAAATGAGCTGCCAACACCTCCCCCGTGGGGAACACCTGTTAGATTGATTCCTCTAGCGGGGAAGAGGCAAAGTAGCTCAGTAGGAGTCACTGATCTAATAACTGCTCAACCCTGGAATTAAACCGGCAGAAAGCGACTCTGTTTCTAGCCCAGGGGCGCCTCCAGAGACAATCCGAATCCAGCGGCCTGACCACAGGCAGGGCCAAGGACGGAAGGAGCAGCCGGCCCTGCAGGGGCGAGCGGCCAAGCAGAGAGACAGCCAGCAGAGAGCAGACCTGGCCGCTCAGCGCTCCTAGTCAATTGCACACCTGGGCAGAGGCAGGGACGGCCTGGCTGGCTGGGAACGGTCCTTCCAGCCCTTCCTCTCCCCCACCGTGAGGCTGACAAATGACGTGCCAGCTCCCGCCCAGGCCCCACTGGAACCACGGTGGCTCCCCTGTGCCCTGGCCCCCTCGAAAGAGGGAGCAGGACGAGCGAGCGGCACTTGGCAGGGGTGGGACTTTCAGAAACTTCGGGGTAGCCACCGGAGTCATTCTGCCTCACTGCAGAGCCCGGCCCGTGGTCCCAGCGGGAAAAGTTCCCAGGAAGGCAGCGGTGTGTGGGGCTGGGGCGCCAGTGCAGGCTTCCTGCTGTGGGGGGCCAGCCCTGAGCGTGCGGCCCACCTGCAAGAGGGTCACAGCCCCCCACTGTGATAGCCTCACGCTCTGCCTCTGTTTTCAAAGCCAGGAGTTTCCCAGAGCTCTCCCTTGGAGCCGACCCCACGGACCCCACGTTACTTTTTTGCCACTGCCTGCGATTTGACAACAGCAATGACCATCTGTGACGGCGCGTCGGGGACCCCCCCAATCCTGCACCCCGTCTACAGCAAGATGAGACTCCGCCAGCCGGTAGAACAGAGGGGTTATGGCTTCTCCAGGATACAGCCCAGCACAGACGTGATGTGGACATAAGGAGTCAGGGGCTGGCAGCCCTAGACCCCTGGGGGCACGGTGCATAGCCCCCTGAACTCCCAGCACTCTGCTTAGCCTCCTCTCTCCATGTTTTCCCAACCAAGACTGACTCTTCCCCAAGCCACCCCCTTCCTTTGTTCAGACTCCTTCCCTCTCCGTTGTGCCATGGTCTCCACATCAGGGTCCTCAGGGCGACCCCCGGCTGGGCCGGGCTCACAGACAGAGGCCAGTAGGGGAGATCCACAGCCCACAGCCCAAGCACAGCGCCCAGCAAGTGGACCGTACCCCCGACCCCCGCTACATCGCACCACCTGAGAATCTCAGAAGAAGCGTTTCCCCTCTGTGGCCAACCGAATGGCTCTGCTGTGTCCCCGTCCGCAAGAGAGCGCGCTGGCTCCCCCCCACCCCGGCCGCCGCCTTCTCCAAATCTTAAACAGATTTTTCCCTTCCAAATTAAGCAGATTTCAATTAAAAAAACCCAACGCTCTGGCTGCACAAACAAGTGCGGGGGCTGGGAAAGCAAAGCCTTTTGCAACAGACAGGGATGTTTGGCAATGACTGAAGTCTCCTTAGAGATTCCTCGTCTCCTTCCAACCCACGGGAGAGTTTTGTTACCCCACTTCAAGGGCCCCTTTTCAAATCGGCACCCGGACCCCGCAATGAGTATTAATCAATCACGCGGCCCTTCCTTCACGTGCGCATAGGCTAGGCGCTGGCAGCGGAACCCAGAGCCCCCTGCACAGAGAGGTGAGGGAGGAAGGAGGAAAAGAAATGTGAGGTTGTGACGTAGTGGGGGGTACCTTGCTGGTTGCTATGCTGGGCAGTGGGTTGTGAGTGACCTCCACTGGCTGCAGCACGGCCCAGCAGGGCAGGGGATGAGTCATTATGCAAGAGGGCTCCGAACCTGTCTGACCAGTTATCTCCCAGGGAGCGGGACAATGGGAAGAAGGGGAGTGGAGCCCTGGCTGGGGGCAGGGCTGGAAGTGAGTGAGTTAGGTTTCTGGCTGGTATCATGGAGGAAGCAGCCTAGGCAACGGGCTGGGATTTAGGGGCCCAGGCTCCCCCATCTCAAGGGGGGCTGAGGCATCCTAGGCCCCACGATAAGGTGGGTGCATAATTGGCTGGATAACCGTAGTCAGAGAGTTGTTGTTAACGGTTCTAAATCCTGCTGGAAAGGGATAACAAGTGGAGTTCCTCAAGGGTCTGTTTTGGGACCCGTACTGTTCAATATCTTCATCAATGATGTAGATATTGGGATAGAGAGTACTCTTATTAAGTTTGCAGATGATACCAAACTGGGTGGGGTTGCAACTTCTTTGGAGGATAGGGACATAATTCAAAATGACCTTAGCAAGTTAGAGAAATGGTCGGAGGTAAACAGGATGAGGTTTAATAAGGAGAAATGCAGAGTGCTCCACTTAGGAAGGAACAATCAGTTCCATACATACAAGATGGGAAGCGACTGTCTAGGAAGGAGCATGGCGGAAAGGGATCTAGGGGTCATAGTGGACCACAAGTTGAATATGAGTCAACAGTGTGATGCTGTTGCCAAAAAAGCAAATATGATTCTAGGTTGTATCAACAGGTGTGTTGTAAGCAAAACTCGTGAAGTCATTCTGCCGCTCTATTCTGCACTAGTTAGGCCTCAGCTGGAGTACTGTGTCCAGTTCTGGGCGCCACATTTCAAGAAAGATGTGGAGAAATTGGAAAGGGTACAGAGAAGAGTGACAAGAATGATTAAAGGTCTAGAGAGCATGACCTATGAAGCCAGGCTTCATGAACTGGGCTTGTTTAGTTTGGAAAAAAGAAGATTAAGGGGGGACATGATAGTGGTTTTCAAATATCTAAAAGGGTGTCACAAGGAGGAAGGCGAAAATTTGTTCCTCTTGGTTTCTGAGGACAGGACATGGAGTAATGGGCTTAAAGTGCAGCAGGGGAGGTTTAGATTGGACATTAGGAAAACATTCCTAACTGTCAGGGTGGTCAAATATTGGAATAAATTGCCAAGGGAGGTGGTGGAATCTCCCTCTCTGGAGATATTTAAGAACAGGTTAGATAGACATCTGTCAGGGATGGTGTAGACGGAGCTTGGTCCTGCCTTGAGGGCGGGGGGCTGGACTCGATGACCTCTCGAGGTCCCTTCCAGTCCTATTATTCTATGATTCTATGATGGACCTAACCTCCATGAAGTTGTCTAGCTCTTTTTTGAACCTTGTTAAAGTCCTGGTCTTCACAACATCCTCCGGCAAGGAGTTCCATAGGTTGACCGTGCGCTGCATGAAGAAAAACTTCCTTTGGTTTGTTTTAAACCTGCTGCCTATTCATTTCATTTTGGTGACCTCTAGTTCTTACATTATGGGAACAAGTAAATAACTTGTTCAAAGGATAAGGTCACTGTGGAGAAACTAAATGAATTCTTTGCTTCAGACTTCATGGCTGAGGATATTTGGGAGATTCCCAAACCTGAGACATTCTCTTTTGGTGACAAAGCTGAGGAATTGTCCCAGATCTGCACCGAAGGTAGTGTGGACAAG